CCTATTTTTCTCTATTATAGATGTTGAAAAAATGTAACTGGTCTTATTTGTCCTTTCAATGTGGACCACTAGGGAGCTCAAAGTCAAAAGAAACTATTGTGTCATAAAAGGTCTTATAGCCTGCATATCTATACTATTTTTTCCTCTCAAACAGCTATGAAAGAATTTTTTTCAATTCCTCTAAAAATATTCATATAAGAGAGGTAAAAAAACCTTAAAATGGTTTCAGAGTGACTGAGCGATAAAAATAAACAACAGATCCACTAGAACCTATGTCTTTGAAAAGACTATAACAACAAAACTTCTGAAACCAGATGGCCCAGGTTTCATATCCCAGCCCTTCTACCTTCCTGTTCTAGAATCTTCAGTAAGTTATTTAACCCTTTTCAGTCTTAGTTTTATCCATGTATTGAAGACAATAATGAAAACCACACAGAGTTGTCGTACGGATGAAGGGATTAACATGTGATGAAATTGAGGCAGATGGTACAGGTCGACACATGCAGTGCATTTGCCTAGAGCTGAACTACTGAAAGTCCCAGTCTCTCTTGCAGGTACACATGCCCATGTGATTTAGTCCTCACCAATTACACATCTACAGGAGTCTGTCCATATTTCCTCTTCTGTTTCCTCCCTCTTTCTACTGGAATGCTGGACCAAAACTGGAGATGCTTGGCCATCAGGATGTTCGAGCAGGACGATAGGAGCCTGGGAGCTCGATGGCCCTGTGTAGCTGTCATCCGGCCCTGAACTGCCCGCCTCCTAATTCATTATTGCTTGAAGTAAATAAGCACCTATTTGGCTAAGCTCCTGTGTCAGGTTTCTGTTATAAAGTAGCCAAACACAAGCCTGACAACATGAACCTCATAAATGATTAACAAAGATTATTTGTTAATAATCTTAAACAAACATTAGTTTCCTTCTATTTGAAAAGATACATTGTTGGGAAAATGATTACAATAATATTAATAAGTTAAAAAGTAAGCTCACAAATGCTGTAGATTATACGGTATGATCTAAATTTCCTTCGACTGGGGGCGGGGGACAATGGCTGTGAGACTCAGGGATATTCGGGAGCCCAGAGGATTCATTTTAACAAAGCCACTTTGACAAAAGCACTTCAAGGTGTCCTGCTGGGTTTTTTATGGGCCAAGAGCACTGTGAGTCCAGGCCGAGTGGAACATGTCAGGGAGCTCATGATAACCACAGGAGCTGGAAATGAGTGTCCATTAGAGATGCATTAATGATGTTCTGTGATTCTTTACATACGGCCTTGGGTGGCTCTTCTGAGGGAAAATGCCTAGACTAGTTTGTGATTTATATCACATGACTACTCAGTACAATGGAAGAGAATAATGAGCCAACCATGTTTTTATTACACCAAAAGAAAATATATTTCAAATTATATCAGTACAGATGTGGTTTCTAACCTTCCTGCTACACCCTCACTCATTTCTAAGAAAACTTATGCTGTTTCTGAGCATAAATGTTTTAGGCTAAAATAGCATTTACTCAGTAATTATCTGCAGATATGGGACCGTGCAGGGTTAAAAGGGACAGTTCCTGGCTGACCCCAACCCAGGGGGCGGGGAGAGTCTCAAAGTGGAAGACCATCACACTGTCCCCTCCCAACACATACGCGGAATATTCTAGGAAACATTTGTGAGGGTTAAACTGCTGCCCTTCATGCCTAATAACATTGAACAACTATTTCACCAAAATACAGTTATAGAGCCATTTGGAAATAGCTGCTTCAATGTGTGCTGCTTGGTCTCCTGTAGTGCAGGCCAGGGCGCTGCAGTTGTCCAGCCCGGGCGTGACACAGAAAGGGAGCGCTTGGTAAACATGAGCAGCTGGAAATGAACATCTGAATGGGAAGCACTGCACTAGGCACAAAAATAAAAAGTTGTTCTTCTTCCTCAAAAGCTCACAAGATGGTACTGAGATCAGCAGAGAAGGACTTTAAGAAAACTGTAATATGTTGATACATCGATAACTTCACGTGAGGCAGAAGTGAATAAATTTGATAAAGCTATGGAGTGTCATTGGAGGTCCACATAAGAGCTACTAATTGTAATTAAGGAGATTCAGTGCAGCATCTCCAAGTGCACCTCATCTCAATAGGACCCTCCTGGACCCTCCAGCACTGTCAGGACCTGCTAACTCTCCACAGCACACAGAGCATCTTGTATAGCCTGGTGGCAACAGCAATGACAACAAAAGAATAGCGGATAAAAGTAGACAAAGGAATAAAAACAATAATAATGATGGCTCATATGTATTGAGCATTTCAGGGAAATGTTATACTGTATAATTAAAATAAATATATTAAGATATATAATTAAAGGTGTGATATAAAAATATACATCTGAGTTAGAGAATGAGTGATATGGCATGGTTTTTCTGAAACCCAGGGAAAGGAGAGACACTATGTTTAAATGCCAACATTGAGCCCAGTCCACTCACCTGCATTTCTGCCTAATTGGCACACATACAACTTTCTTCCCAGGAGAATCATGAAGAAAGCATATCCGTTAACTGGCAACTTAGCTTCCTGGCATCAGAATAGAAACATTTCACTAGGAGATAATAGCGTGGTAAGTGTATGGGGATATACTCCATCATTTTTGTTGATGCAAACTGATTTTCCAGGATTTTTATAAATTAATTAGTCATTTCAGAACCTCTGCAACTATTGCGTAAAAATACACCACTATTTGTAAAAATCTACTCATTGAACTGGTTCAGCTGTTTGCATAGTCTGTGCGTGTGCACGCGCGCACGCACGCGCGCACACACACACACAGTGATGCAATAACTTCTGCTTCCTAAGGAAAAAAGCATTCTTTTTTTTCTCATTAAATGATTCATTGGCCTTTCAAATGGCATGAAGGGGCACAGAGTTCTGTGCACACACTTTAAAAGGAAATGTTTATCCTCCTACTGCAACCGACAGATAAGATGGCAAGCTAGATTGAATATCTTTAAGCGTCTCTTTTCTTCAAATCTGTTTTCCAGCACAAAGTTAGAAGTCAGTTCATATGACTGAAAGCCCTCCTGTATATAAAGCCTATTTTGGATTTCTTTACTTTTTTTTTCCCATTTGATGAGCTGTTAAAGCGATTGCTTCCTTATCTCTTCTTCAATTCATAGCAAGTTGATATCAGGTTTTGAACAGAAAGGATTCTGTGGATTGGCTTATTTGCCCTGTAGTCCACCCTTTTTCTAGCTCCCTGCTGAAGCTTGATTTAAAGACTGCCTCTCCAGGACTGCTAAACTACTCTTGGTCCAGATGCAAATTAACCTTATCTATTAGATGCACTGGAGGAGATGTGGAAGGAAAGGGGTGAGTTGGAACCTGTCTCCCTGGCCCTGGTTCAGTTGGAGGCACTTCTGGCCACACTCATGGCAATGGCAGCTGCGGCTTTCTAGTCCCTAAACCGCACTTACTACTGCGGTTTATTCCAGGACTAAGCAGGTCCAGGAGCCGCCTCCTGACTCCCACACCTCCATTCTTCTAATGATTTCTAAGTGCCTAGTTCCCAACATGAAATATCTTCCTGTGAAAGACACCTAGGAAGTCTTCTGTTCCTAATATAATTATATTCTTCATCTCCCCATCTGAAGATGCAATGTATGAACCAAAACAACATTAATACCTAACACTTGCAGAATGCGTTGTAGTTTACAAAGTGCATACACATGAATTATCTACATAAATCCTGACCCCAGCTCTGAGAGGTGGCAGGACAGGCTGCTCTCCCCATTGTACAGACGAGAAAGCAGAGCGTCAGGAGATTTAGGTGACTTAGAAAGACATTTACTTAGTAAGAGGTGGATACAAAACTCAATCCCACATTTTATGACTCTTTTTTTCTGTTTAAATTACAGCTGACATAAAAAGGATATTAGTTTTAGGTGTACAACCTACTGACTATGTCTTCTAATCATGTCCTTTGACACCAGAAAGCCTCCCAAGGGCAAATGAAGAGTAAGCACATGAACACTGGCAATGACTAAACCTTCTATTTCCTACTGAAAAATAAAAATTAAAAAACAACTTACAAGAACACTCTAAAGCCATTAAAATAGACTAAAACACCTAAGGACAAAATAAAAAATATGAGCTATTTCACAGAGAGCATGACTTTGGATCCAGGAGAGCCTGTGCCTCAACTTTATAGAATCTCTCCCTTGGAGACTTTTTGCTGTTAATACAGATACACAAAGGTTCAATCCCACTTTCCAACTCTGACCATGAATTCTCTTTCTGTGCAACCATCTGGCCAAACCAAGAGTAGGTAGAAGACTTGGGGAGGCCAAGATTCATTTCTCCATTTCTCCCTAGTGGCAGTATCACCTAAGATCTACCCCCTCTCCAACTTGGTCTCCCCCCGAGAAAATATTTCCTTTTTATCCACTTTCCATATAGAGATAATTTAATAATATATTTGATTTCAATGCTCAAGAAACCAAGAAGAAAAACATTGAGTAGGCAGAGCTTGTTTTAGACCATTTGAAAAGTGGTCAAAGTCTTTCTCCCCATGTCCACCTCTTCTCCACTTCATAGCACATGGTGAAGGTTCAAGAGCTCTAAGAAGCAAATGTCTGACCATACAGTCCCCACTCCCCAAGATCAACATCAGCATGGAGGAAACACAGTACTGCAAACCTTTGAGATCATTCCACAGCCAACCTCAAAACACTAGAATTCCACAATTCCCTGTCCTTGCCTCCTTCTCTGCTTTCTTCTTTCAGTCTCATATGACTCAAATCAGAAGGGGTAGAAAAACTGTTACTGTATAGCATCTTAATTCTGCCCTTGCATCAAAACATTATGTGATTTCTTCACAAAAATAACAACTATAAAGAAAACATTTAAAATTAAGAGAAGATGAAAATAAGTAGATCTGATTAGTTAGACAAATTCAATGATATCTTTCCTATAAAATCAAGACATGTAAGAACCTATACTGAAAGGCAACAAGCTCTATACGAACCTGGGGGAAGAGAGAATAAGTTGAATTGTCAATGGTGAATGAGTATAAAAACTCCCCATCATACCACATGCTCTTCCCCATGGGAGAATTCATTTTAGTCATAGCAAAGAGATGGGCAGGGTCACAGCAGTCTTCCATCTGTTTCCTAGGAGAGAAAATAGAGAGAAAAAAGAACAGCAGGTTAAGTGAGCAGCAGACTCATTCACTTGTCATTCCCACAGAGATGTGCAGCCTTACCTCAGTGCCAACTCACAAAAGCATCTGTGTCTCCAGGGTGATTAGACTACTATTAATTCACTCTTCCAGCCACCAGGATGCTTGACTGGAACTTTTCATAATAAAATAGTTTAAGAAAAATGCATCGGCTCTCAGATGCAGGTGAAATATGTCCAAAGGTAAAAATAATCATCGTAATTGCATATTTATTGATTGATTTCAATATCCAGTTCCAGAAGGTGGCTTTGGAGACCGTTGAGATATTCAGCTATAGCCAAAATGCATCTTTATGGTGAAATCAGGTAGTTAGGTTCAGTGACAAGGGATCTTAAATGAGCCATGTAGAGTAGAGAGTGCACACAGGGGTTGAAAAGAGGGTGCATTCCCCATCTAGAGACAGGATTAAAGAACAACTCTTGGGGAACTTAAAAATAGAAAGAAAATGAGATGGGTGATGTGATTTGAGACACTAGTGAAACAACCCGCCTTCTAAGTCGTAAACCTCATGGGGCTTTTCAGTTCTCGTTTTGTCTAAACTCCCAGCAGTGTTCAACACAGCTGAGGACGTGACCTCTGGGGAGGTCTCCTCACTCCCTTCATGTCTAGAACACCAGGATCTCCTAAGTCACCTCACCCGTATAGGCTGCTCCTCTACTTGGCCCTCCAATATAAGCCCTGATAATGTTCCACAGGCCAGTCTTTATATTCTCCTCTAATCAAAAGCCTTTTGAACCCCAATGCCATTTATTCCCTGAGCTTTCCTGAGTGAAAGAGCATATTCCCCAGTCCTACCTCTAGAAGGACCTGCTGACATATTCCAGTTCTGAATGACAACCCCACAGAGACATGCTTGCTCAGACATTTTTGCTACCCACAGAACAGAAACTTAGAGCTGAAATGGGATAGTAATGTAGAGCACTGGGTTCAAATCCTGACTCTGCCATTTACTAACTCCACAAGTGGAGAATGTTATTGGGCTTCAGAACTGGCTTCAGAGACTGTTTCTAAGAATTTGCTGAGAATGTACAGGTGGAAAACAGAGTACAGGTTCTATACAGGTTGTTGTTATTACATAACCCCAACCTCACTGCAGAGATGAATAAACTGATTCAGTGTTAGGCCACAAAACAAGTCTTAGCAAATTCAAGAAAACTGAAATGGACTAAGTATCTTCCCTGACCACAGTGGAATGAAACTAGAAATCAATAGCAAGAGAAAAACTAGGCAATTCATGAACACATGAAAATCAAACAACACTCTACTGTACAATCAATGGATTAAAGAAGAAATTAAAGGGGAAATGAAAAAAGTTTATTGATACAGCCCTGACTGGTATGGCTCACTGGGTTGGACGTTGTTCCACAAACTGAAAGATCCCTGGCTCAATTCCCAGTCAGGGCACATGTCTGGGTTGCAGGCCAGATAGCTGGTTGGGGGCATGCGAGAGGCAACTGATTGATGTTTTTCTCACACATTGGTGTTTCCTTCCCTCTCTTTCTTCCTCCCTTCCCTTCTCTCTAAAAATAAATAAATAAAATCTGTCTTTAAAAAGTTTATTGATACAAACAAAAATGAAAATACAACATACTAGAACTTGTGGGATGTAGCAAAAGTAGTTCTAAAAGGGAAGTTCATGGCAATAAATGCCTGCATTAAGAATCAAGAAAGATCTCAAATAAACAACCTAACTCTACACCGTAAACAATTAGAGAAAGAAGAACAAAGTGAGCCCAAAATTGGCAGAAGAAAGGATGTAATATAGAGTAGAGCAGAAATAAATACAATAGAAAACAGAAAAACAATAGAAAATATCAACCAAGTAAGATTTGGTTATTTGAAAAGATGAACAAAATTGACAAAGCCTTAGCAGGAACAACCAAGGAAAAAAGAAAAAGAACTCAAGCCAGCAACGTATAAATGAAAAATGAAACATTACAACTGATACCCCAGAAATTCAAAGGATCATAAAAGGCTACTATTACCAACTATATGCCAACAAACTGAACGATCTAGAAGAAATGAAAAAATTCCTAGAAACACACAATTTGCCAAGACTGAATCAGAAAGAAATAGAAAAATTAAAGTAGACCAACTGCTAATAAGGAGATTAAATCAGTAATCAAAAACCTCCCAGTGAAGAAAAACCCAGGAACAGATGGCTTCACTGGTGAATTTACCAACATTTAAATACAAACAAACACCAATCCTTCTCAGACTATTCCAAAAAAATCAGAGGAGGAAACACTCCCAAACTCATATTATGAGACCAGCATTATCCTGATGCCAAAACAAAAAAGAAAAATAGATACCACTAAAAAAAGAAAGTACAGGCCAAAATCCCTCATGAATATAGCGGCAAAAACTCTCAATAAAATACTAGCAAACTGAACTTTGCAGCACGCTAAAAAAATCATACACCATGGTCAAGGAGAATTTTTCCCTGGGATGCAAGGATTGTTCACCATATGCAAATCAAGCAATGTGATAGACATTGAATAGAAAGAAACGAACATATGATCATCTTAATAGACACCAAAAAAAAAAAATTAAAAAAATTCAACCTTCATTTAAGATAATAAAACTAAAAACACTTTAAAAATCAGACATGAAAAGAAAATATCTCAACATAATAAAGGCCACATATAACTAGCTCACACCTAACATCATACTCATTGGTGAAAGGTTGAAAGCTCCCACTCTCACCATTCTTAACATAGTCCTAGAAGTCCTAGCTGAAGCAATCAGGGATATAAAATGAATCAGAATTGGAAAGAAAGAAGTAAAATTGTCTCTATTTGCAGATGACATGATTTTTATTAATTAAAAAACAATTAGATCTAATAAGTGAATGCAGTAAAGTTGCAGGATACAAAATTAACATACAAAAACGAGTAGCATTTCTATACGCTAACAGCAAATTCTCTGAAGAAAAAAAAGAAATCGACCCCATTTACAACAGCATCAAAAACAATAAAATGCTTAGGAATAAACTTAATTAAGGAAGTAAAAGATCTCTACTCTAAAAATTGCAAGACATTAATGAAAAAAATCAAAGAAAACATAAATAAATGTAAAGGTATCCCATGTCCATGGATCAGAGAAATTTAATATTGTTAAAATGGCAATACCACCAAAAGCCATCTACAGATTTGTGAAAGCTGACATAAGTAGGGCCATTTTAAAATGGAGCCAAAGCAGCATAGGAGATATAGTCAATAATATTGTAACAACTATGTATGGTGTCAGGTGGGTACTAGATATATCAGGGGGAACACTTTGTAGAGTATATGATTGTCTAACCACTATGCTGTACACCTGAAACTAATACAAAATAATATTGAATGTAAATGGCTATTTAACAAAAAAGTTAAAAATAAATAAAATAAAAGTCACTACAGTTAAATATACCTTGAAAAGCTTATAGGGCCATAGAAATGGAAATAGTAATTACTATAATTTAAAGGAAATGGAGAGGTTAATACTTATATTCTTTCAACATGCACTTCTTCCTATCTCTTTAGAACAGTTCCTGGAAAATATATGCCCCTGAGGGGTTTTAGTCATCTCTCAAATTTAATGTAACAGTGTTGAAAAACTATAGCCTGCCATCTGCTTTTGTAAATTTTAAAAAAACCCACCATATATAAATTATTTCTCAATAAAACTGAAAAAATCTTCCCTAGATTTTCAGCGCCTACTATGGACCCTGACATTCAGACCCTTCTATGACCTAGCCACTCCTCTTTATCATGTATTCATGATAAAACCAAGTTATTAACCAAGGCCACATGGTGGAATAGCTCAGATTTAAACCCTGATCTAACTCCAGGGACCATGGTCTTAGCCAATGCACTCAATGGCCTCTTACTCTATTCCACTTGAACCTTGTGTGTTTCCAGGTCTATTGCCATCGCTGACTCTGGTGGCAAGACTGTGTCTGGTTCATCAGCTGGAAAATGGTTTATACAAAGATTTCTTATTAAGGGTGGTCTAGGTAATTTGAACAAACTATCCCATTAAAAACAATTAGAGGTCCTGGCAGGGTAGTTCAGTTGGTTAGAACATCATTCCGATATGCCAAGGTTGCAAGTTCTATCTCTGGTCAGAGCACATACAAGAATCAATCAATGAATACATAAATAAGTGGAACAATAAATCAATGTCTCTATCTGTATCTCTCTCTCTCTCTCTCAAATTAATAAATTTAAAAACACAATTAGAAAAGTTGGACAAAAAACAAAATCATTTTGAAAGCATCTGAGAGCTAACAAGGAATAGAAAAAAAAAATGAGGGCAAGATCTAGGAGAATAAAGAAACTCAGAATGGGCAGTCCCACAGTTAGGACCTCTTTGTTTCTAAGGGTATCTGGCAGTTCTGGAAGAGGCAGCTGAAAGGCTGAAAAGCTGAGAAAATCTTCCAAAAGACGTGTGGAACTGGAAGCAGGAAAACTGAGGTTCAAAGGATGTCAAGGAGATGTCACCCTGAGAGTCTCCCAGCCTCTTGGTTGGTACAAATGACTTAAAAGTACATGTATGCAAGAAACAGACCAGCCCTTGAAGGAACTGAAGCCCCACTTTGAATGATCTCAATCTCTGACCGGATTGAGGTCATTTAATTATACCCCTTGCTGTCTGAAGATGACATCATCCTAGTTCTCAAATGTCTTCTCAATGTTCAGATACAATGTCTGGTACATAATTAAAACTACCCACAAGAAAAAGGATACAAGAAAATATGATTACAAATGAAAAGGAACAATAGAAAATAGGCACAAGAAGGAGTAAAGATAATGAAGTTTTCAGACAGAAACATTAAAATAATTGTGTTTAATATGTTTGAGGAAACGAAAGATAAGATTGTGAATTTTGACAAACAAATGGAAGCTGAAAAAAGAGAAACATATAAAGAAGCCATCTGTAAATATATGT